AAGCGGTAACATGTAACAGAAGGAATATTTTCTTGCCCTTATATAGCCTTAGGCCACCTATGGCTATGATAACACTACCCTTTCTTCCAGCTAAGAAGAAAATAATGATCTGAAAGCAAAAGAGGAATTGTATGTGTGTGTAAGTACGCGTTACTGCAAGCTAATGAAGTGTAATATGTGATGCACTTGCAACACTGATTCAGGAATGAATTAGGGTCAGGACAAGCAGCTTTTGGTGCGTTGTGAAGCGGCGCTGAAGCATGAGGTACATTGGCTTCCTGCTTATGTGGAGAGTTGTCCAGCTGCCAGAATTGTGCAAGTGAGGCAAATTGGCATCATTCCTGCCCTGTGACATGCTTTCACTGCAAGTTGTGTTGGAGCATGGGCCCTGCTTAGCCTTGGGTGAGGCTGGTCACTTGTGGATCAGCAGTGGCATGAGCTGACCACTGGATACCCCCAGACGTGCCCAGCACACTGTGTTTACAATACAAAGCCCAGTGTGAGTTTAGTCAACCCTGAGAGCTGCTATTCCTTTTTTTGCTTTTCACTTTCCCCGTAGGCTCAGTAACGTTAGCCAAACCAGAGTTCTGAGACTGATGTTTGCCCTGTGCGGGGCCTCCATGTTGTCCTGCACCACACCAAAGAGAGTTGCTTCTTGTTTCATTGATCCTGCAAATACAAAGATGTGGAATGTGCCGCCTGGGCTGTAGAAAGCTGCCTTCCTGTCCCAGTCTTGTAGTACATCCTTTTTTTTATTGGGAAAAGAAAATGGCACGTCTTGCTCTGCCAGTTCATGCAACTTCATTTGCGATTTCTACCACCTCCTCCCCAGCTTCCAAAAAAGCAGACAGATCACTTCTGTCCTTTTTCAGGTGGATTGCTGCCGATGACTTCATCGTGTCAGTGATGAACGTCCATGGCATAGTTTTGCAGTTCAAATTGGTTTTGTGTGGTGGCTGTCTCACCAATGCTTTGACTCCTGTGACAGCAATGCTTGGAGATCTTGAACAGCACCAAGTTCATACAGTGTTAGATGCTATCTTGACACGTAGAGGTGTTATTCTCCCACAGCTCTTGTCCGCTTAATGCAAAGTAAAGATGAAAGGGAGCAGGTGGGGAAGCTGTAGAAAGTGATCGGTGACTCTGTGTAGCTTGTTAGTGCTCTGGTTATAAATCTGAAGTGAGCTCAGGGTTAATTATTATTGGAACTAGCAACTCTTTCTTGGTGCTTTCACTTCTACTGCTTAACAGCAAGTTGGATTTTTTGTTATTTGCTTAGTTTTTTCTTATGGTAACCCTAGCCTTTCTGTGTGCATCTTGTTTCAGTTCAAGTCTTTTTTCTGTTTTTATTAGGCTTTTCTAGTGTTTGTTAGTATTATACCCTTATTGTTCTAATCCAGAAATAACAAATGATAGATATCCATTTGCCATTTGTGCCTCTAACAACTAACCGGAGTGAGAGATTTTTCAGAGTCTCTTAGAAATTCACTACCTTTGGTTAGAGCAACGTTTACTTCTGCTACTGCTTTGACAGTTGGACATAGGCTATGCCAGCCGCTGCAGAGGGAGCGGCTGGCACTGAGCTCCTGGAATATGGAAAAAGATTAAATGGAACATCTTGATCCCTTTCTCTGAAAAAGGAAATAATCTTCCCCTGATATTGCTGTTCATTGTCCAACAAAGCTGTGACAGTGGCTTATTCTGCAGCCCTGTTACTATAAAAGGGATGTGCTGTGGATGGTCATTCCTTCCCAGTGTGGTCAGCTATTTCATGGCTATTTCTGTTCCCCCTCCGGGAACGTGCAGCTCCTCTCCCGCTGCAGGCGGTGGGGCTGCAGTCTGCTAGGCAGACCAGGGCTGGGGTTTGGCAGTGCAGGAGCGCGTCCCACGGAGGCAAGTGTCCTACAAACCACAGAGTGGAGCTGGAGCATGGGTGGGAGGACGCCAGTCAAACATGGGCTGTGCTGGAGCCCGTAATTAATGCACAGGAGGCATCAAATCTGCAGAAGCCTCATTAAGAGATCGAAAATGAGCTGCAAGCAGCCTTACCACAAATAAACAAACTCCAAACGTGTTGATCAATAGGAGGAAAAATCCACGCGCAGGCTGTCGGAGCTGCTGTTCCAGATGTGTGGGTCTG